TCAACCTACATTGATTTATCCAGAGTCTACATCTCGTTGCGTTATTTCCGTACACCTTGAACCACACTAGCAGGCAGTGACAAACTGCAACAGCCTCTCTCAACGGCGGCAAATGACTCAGATGATTTGAGGCAGTATGTGCGTTTCTGGACAATTTGGTGGCCACAGTGGCTGTCTTCAAAGTGCGATATCTGCATAGTGCAATTTTGGCAGCTCTGGGCACACTTGCTTTGACTGCCAGGCAACTTTGCCTTCAGATACTGGACTTTCTGGTGACTCCTCATGCGTGAAGTGTCATTTATTCATATTACCAGCTTCAGTGCATCTCTTCGCTTTCAGGGATGCCACCATCCTGATGGAGGGTGTTTGACTGCTCACTACTTGACACTGACGCACGCAATTAGTATTGCTTTCGACCTACATTGATTTATCCACAGTCTACATCTCACTGCGTTGATTCCGTACAGGTTGAAGCACACCAGCAGGCAGTAACAAACTGCAACAGCCTCTCTCAACGGCGGCAAATGACTCAGATTATTTGAGGCAGAAAGTGCGTGTCGGGACAATGCGGTGGCGACAATAGCTGTCTTCAAAGTGCGACATTTGCATAGTGCAATTTTGGTAGCTCTGGGCACACTTGCTTTGACTGCCAGGCAACTTTGCCTCCAAATATTGAACTTTCTGGTGGCTTCTGATGCGTGAAGTGTTATCTGTTCATATTACCAGCTTCAGTGCATCTCTTCGTTTTCAGGGATGCCACCATCCTGATGAAAACTCTTTGGCGGCTCATTGTAACTGACGCACGCAATTAGTTTTGCTTTCAATCTACATTGATTTATTCAGGGTCTACATTTCGTTGTGTTGATTCCGTACATGTTGAAGCACACTAGCAGGCAGAGATAAACTGCAACAGCCTCTCTCAGCGGCGGTCAATGACTCAGATGATTTGAAGCAGTAGGTGAGTTTCTGGACAATGTGGTGGCGACAATGGCTGTCTTCAAAGTGCGATATCTGCATAGTGCAATTTTGGCAGCTCTGGGCACACTTGCTTTGACTGCCAGGCAACTTTGCGTTCAAATATTGAGCCTTCTGATGACTGCGTATGTGTGAAGTGTCTAGTGCGTGACAGAATGTCCGCAGATCGTGGATGCCGACCCTTTACAAGTAGCTGCATGATCATAAAAGATAGCTGGAGTCCAAATCGACACCAAGCTGTTTCTAGTGAGAATAAAGGATTCTGGGCATGGAGGGGGGAGCTACGTCGGATTGGAAAGTTTACCCATGTTTGCTGTTCTGTTCTTGTGTGACGTCGTCTTTGCTAAGCAATGAAGAAAATGCCGAGTTCGATCAAAATTGTTATTTATGCATGCGCTAGGGATCGATGCAGCACTTTGTTGTGTTTGTTGCTCAAAAAGCTAGTGTGGATCTCATGAGAGACACTCAACCCAAAGATGGGGTGGTAACACTCATGAAGCGTACTCGTGTACTACAGGAATGTGCAGTTGATATATCCAGATTTATAGAAGTACCCACAAACTAATCTATACTATATAGCAACGCTTGAGGGCCTTTAGTTTGGCTAAACACGTGAACATGCGTTGCTTTGATGTTTTCGTGACGCTTTTTCTCCTGCAGCCAGAACAAATAAGGCGAGTGACACGATTACCACATAGTGGAAGCGTACGGAATACGGGACAGCAAAACGTATGAGAGACAGTTTTGCTTTTATGTTTGCAGGGAGAGCGAAATTTTACCGGCATGATACATCAGGAAGTAACATTTTTGCAGTTGATAAGTACCAGCGCATATGACAATTATACACCCTCAGGGAAACGATTTACTGAGATTCGTTACTATGTTGTTTTTTAGAGTATTATTCCTCTAACGAAACCGGCACGGAACTTTCGAGCACCGCCTCCTGCTGTCTCTGTTGCAGTTGGCTTCCGTGTGCAAGTTGCTGCTACTGCTGTCTCCGCTCCCCTTGGTGCTGCTGTTGCTGCCGCTACCGCGGTTCAAACAGCTGCTGAAGCCTGCGCTGCGGTGTAACGATGCAGCAAAAGGCCCAGCAGTGATAAGCCTTTGAGGGCCCCGCCGGCAGCAGCACGAGCTGCTGGGTGCTACTGCTGCTACTGCAGCTACAGCTGCAGGGACCTATTCTGCCTCGCATTAGCAGCTCGGGCCCCTATCTTCAGCTGCGGAGCATCAGAAACCCCCACACCCAAAGAAGGGCAGCCCAGCCGAGGGCTTGTGTGCAAATTAATTTGAGTCGGCTTTGTTTTGCTTCCCCTATGGGAGCCCCTGCGTTGCAGAGATTTAGCTATGCCTCTGGGGGAGCGTGCGGGGGATGGGAAGGGGCCGCCGGCCCGCCGCAGCCACGAGGGGTGCCACGCCGGGGGCCACCTTGGGGGGACCCCCGGGGGGCCTCTCCCCCGGATACTGCGGCTTGTGCAGCGCGACACACTTTGCTACTGCACGCAGGAGGACCACACAGCTAGCCAACAACCCTAAGGCAGTTGTCCTGAGCCACGAAGCGCACACAGCAGCAAGACGTGAAAGGTCATGTCGCGAGGCCGCAGCGTTGCGCGCGAAGCTGCGGGAGCAGCAGCAGCAGTATTAGAAGTAGCAGCAGCAGTAGCAGGCAGCACAAACAATACGCGAAACAGAAGTGGCACACTAGACCGTTGAACACGATTATCGCGAAATGGCGACAGTCATTCTGCCCGTTGCAAAAGCAGCAGCAGCAGCGGCAGCAGCACGGGCGCTCCTAAAGCAGTTACAGGCACTAAAGCAATAGCAGCAGCAGCAGCCCCACCAGATGCAGCTGCAAGGCAACAGCAGCGACAACAGCAGCAACTTGCTTGACCGCTGCTTCATCACCGCAACAGCAGCATCAGCAGCAGCAGGGAATGGCTAATTGCGTTTGCGATGAGGAATATGGCGCTGCTGTTGATTTGCATGTCGTAGACGAGAGCAAAAGCACAGGAGACAGCCTGAGCTACGAAAACTACTGCAGGGAGGTGGGTGGGGTGTGCTTCTCTGACGGCCCTTTTTGCTGCTGCTCCGAGGCAAAGAAACAGCAGCACAGCAGCAGAAGGAGCAGCAACATGCAGCGCTTTGATCGACCGCGCGGGTTTTATCTGCAGCAGCGACGCCACAAACAGCAGCAAACAGGTCAGGTGATGAGGGCCCACAGCAGCTGTTCGTTGCCCAGCAGTATCTTCCAGCACCGATTCCTCGCTGTTACTGCTGCGCCGAAGCAGTTCCGTGCTGCTTCTGCTGCTGCTACTGCTGCAGCCAGGCCTGGTGCAGCTTCCGCCAAGAGGCTCTGTGCTGCCTGCGGGTCCAAACGATCAGAGCCATAAGGAGCCATCCAGCTTCTAGGGGGCCTCATGCCCACCAGTGCGAGTCTTGGGACACCCTTCCCTTTGGGTATCCCCCGCGAGGGCCCCTGGGTCCCCCAAGATCCCGCTATTCCACACATACTGGCTGCGGACCCCCTTTGCTGCAACACTTTTCGGCATTCCTCGCCTGGGGGCCCCAAGGGGGCCGATGGGCCCCTCGGGAGCCCCGAAGCGCCCAAACGGAAGACAATAGAGGACGGCAGGGCTGTTGGGACTGCGGGCACAGTAAAAAGCCATCTGAGCTACATTTGGGGCCCCTGGGTGTGCCCGGCAGATCTGGTTGTACCCCATGTCTATTTCGTAGCTATCACTCAGGAGTTCTAGTCCGTGGTTTCTGTTCAAAATTACTAATTTTTGTTATAGCAAAAACGTGAAGGTACGTCGTATTCACTCCGCTTGTGGTGCCATGTTTCGATTTACCAGGCACATACTACATTTTAAGAACACTCGTAATTGCTTCGCAAATAACCAGTTCTTAGGCGTCTGCTAGGTTGTTTGTGGCTGGTTTCAATTCACTTTGAACAATAGGAGTATGTCCGGATGCATTGGACCCCAAAACATTTCGCCACTATCGTCGGAATGCACGCACATTTTTCTGCGCCACCTCCATGTCGCAAATATGAACACAGCTATGTTTGATTTTGCTATGAAAACTGTGTAACCAGCGAATCACCGCTAAAGAGCAAACAATCACGAGCTTTTTCTTGCAAAGAAGCATAAGTGTTCCCACTAATCAGTTCCAAGAATGAAGGGCGCCTATACGTCATGCCTCCGTTCAGTTGCTCGTTTCTCTCTCAAACACTCTATCCTAAACCGTACACTGTAATCCGCAAGCATTTTGTGCGAGGTTATTCGTTCTTATTCACTTTGGATGATAAATAGGAGCATAGAAAATAGTACTGCGGAGTAATCATGGGGATACCAGATAATTATCCAAGCAGCTTCATCGTTGCTACATGCACTATTCCGTCATTTTTACAGTTGAAATTGTTTGCAGCAAGTAGGCGTCTTCTGGATAAGTGGCCCTGCCATTCCGATACTGCAACAACATCCTTAAGGGGCTTTTTTAACGATCGCCATGAAAAGGCATAATGGTTTTACGGCTTTTGGTAAAGGCAAAGAACGTTTAGGCTTCAGACTCAGTAAGGTTTAGGTTCTAAGGTTGGGCCTTTAGGCAATAGAGTGCAGGCTTTAAAGGTCTGCAGCGTACACTTCCGGGTTCATTGCTTACGGAGTTTCAGTTTGTGGTTTACGGAATAGAGTTTGCAGTTTGTGGTTTAAGGTTTAGCGTTAGGGTTTAAGGTTAAGGGTTTAGGGTTTTGGATTTTATGATTAGGGTCTAGGGTTTGCCGTTAAGGATTTAGAGTTTAGGGTTTAAGGTTTAGACTTTAGGGTTTAGGGTTTGAGGGTTTAGCGTTTAGGGTTTGCGTTGGGCGTAGTAGTGGCTCACGGCGCTCTATCACGCGTCGAGCCGAGGCCATGAGGCGCTGGCGCGGCTACTACTAGACAAAGGGGCAAATCTTCACCGGGAAAACGTGTGGGGTTTTGCTGCGCTGCTCGAACCAGCCGTGCGCTTCCAGCAGCAAATCGTGGAGCTCCTCATCGGTAGGGGCGCCAGCGTCCACCTCCCAAACAACGTGCGCTGCTCCTGTTGCTCCTGCTGCTGCTGCTGCTTATGATGATGATGACGATAATGATGATGGTGCGGCTGCTGCGCCAGGCCGTCCGGGTCCTGCTGCTGCTGCTGATGATGATGGTGATAATGATGCTGATGGTGATGATGATGATTATGATGATGGTCGTGCGCCTGTGGCTGCTGCTGCTGGTGTTGGTGATGATGCCCGTGCTGCTGCTGCTGCTGTTGTTGATGATAATGATGAGGGCTGCTGCCGCTTTGATCGCTGGCGCCATTATTCGGTCTCCTGGTGCTGCGGCTACTCTTATTGCTGCTGCTGCTGCTCACTTGCTGATGATTGTGCTGCTGCTGCTGCTGTTGCGCTGAGTTGCATAAAACGTGATTTTACCTGTGACACTTTGCTCATCGACAGATAGCGACGTGGTCCTGCTGCTGCTGCTGATGATGATGGTGATGATGATGCTGATGGTGATGATGATGATTATGATGATGGTCGTGCGCCTGTGGCTGCTGCTGCTGGTGTTGGTGATGATGCCCGTGCTGCTGCTGCTGCTGTTGTTGATGATAATGATGGGGGCTGCTGCCGCTTTGATCGCTGGCGCCATTATTCGGTCTCCTGGTGCTGCGGCTACTCTTATTGCTGCTGCTGCTGCTCACTTGCTGATGATTGTGCTGCTGCTGCTGCTGTTGCGCTGAGTTGCATAAAACGTGATTTTACCTGTGACACTTTGCTCATCGACAGATAGCGACGTGGCAAGCCCTAAACCTCAACCCCCTAGCACTTTTGGCTTCTAATACCGCAGTAAGCATTCGGTTACGGTTAGTCATTTAGCCTTTTATTGCGAGTAATAACAATATTTTATTTTTTTGTCACTTCGCTTCTTCGCCACAAAGCTTTTTCAAACCTCAATGCAGATGTCTCTGCTGGGTCCTAGGGTTTAGCGTTTAGGGTTTACGGTCGTGTCTGCAGGCGGGAGACACTCCCTTATTTTTGGCACTTTACGCTAGGCGCACAGAGGCAACAGTTGCTGCTGCCCCTTAAATATACTTGAAAGATTCCAAAAGAAACTAAATAAATGGGATAAAATCATTTTAGTTGCTGGCTTTGTTAATTGTTGCTGCGCCAGCCTATAACTTCTTTTGTCCCTTTGCTGCTGCAACAGATTGTCGCTTTGCTGCTGAGCAAGGGGACCCAAATAAACCGAGTTAACAATCTAATACTCCCATAAGCAGCAAAAATAAAGAAATATATAAGTAAAAGAAAGCATGCGGGCTGCAGCAGGAGCAGCAGCTGCTGCAGCAGGAGTAGTTGCTGCTGCAGCAGGAGCAGCTGTTAGAGCAGCAGCAGCAGTAAGTGCTGTCAGGATTGCTGGAGCGACTGCAAATGACCTGGAAAGTCCAAACCCTAAACCCTGAGTACTAGCCGCTGTCCTTTAAGGAAGAAGCGAGATCCAGAGTCGCGCTGCTATTGAAGGGAGAGTGCGTAGGCTTTAGAATTTAGGTTTTAGGGTTTAGGTCTTGAGATGCGTGCATGCACAGGCGGGGCTGAGCTGCCACCACTTACCAGCAGCGGCAGCAAGGCCCCAACTTGCTGCCTTTTTGCTTTATACGGGCACCTTCTTAAACAGACTTTAGATGCCAGGAGGAGCAGCAGCAGCTGCTGCTGCTGCAGCGGCTAAGAAACAAAAGCAGCGCCAACCCCGAGGAGAGCAACACCGAAGCAAAGCGCAGCAGCAGCAACGGCATCCGCAGCAGCCGCAGCAGCAGCAGCAGGGGAGCTGAATCAAAAAATGAGGAGGAGCAGCAGAATGAAACAAACGATGAAGCATCTGGTGAAACTGAAGAAAATCGTCTCGACTTTGGACGAACTGAGGGTAATTTTCCTTTTTTCCTTTTACTGTCTATTAGTCGTTATTTAACATTAAGGGCTCATAATTTACAATACATTAGTTATTTGTTATTTATTTATTATTATTCACTGCTGTTTGTTATTAGTTATTTCTTTCATTTATTTGTCTTTTTTGCTGCTTCTTCTGCTTCTCTGCTCCGCCGTTACCTTCAGATATCCATCCCTAAGCCCTTAACCCTAAACCTTAAGCCCTAGCCCCTCGAGTTCAAGACCTTAGCCCTTAGCCGTAAACCCTGAACACGGGGAGCTCTTGCTAATTTATCTGGAGGCGACTCGCAAGCCCCTTACAGCAACGCGCACAATGCAAACGCTAGAGCCCGAAACCCCAAACCCTAAACCCTAAAACCCCAATCTTCTGATTCTTTTTGATTTATTTTTCGTTTTTGCAGGCAGCTCGTACAGTGCGGTGTCCCCGCAACTATCGAGTCGACAGCTTACTTTGGCGTCTTAGCTCGAAACAAAACAAAATGGCCTGAAACGCGCAGCTGTTTCCACTGCTTTCCGCTAAGGGTGAAAGCGAGAAGGGTTTAGTGTTTAGGGTTTAGGGTTTAGGGTTTGAAGACTTCTTTGTTCATTTCTCATTGACTCTTTTTATTACGAGTGAATTTGTTTGCATTCATCCCTGCATGCCCCCATTCTGGATATATATGCATACATATATACATATACATATATAATATTATATACGTTTTCATATGCTTAAGATGATGAATGTACATGCAGGAGGTGGGTGCCGTGGAATGTCAAGCGTACGTATGCCTGACGCGAAGCAAGGAATCTGAGGTGCTTGAGATAGACACACAGTAGACGCGTTCATGGCGATGCCATGGAGAGTTCAGTAGACAGGTAATGCATGGCGGTATTTCGTAAACAAAGGAGCTGGTGCCGCCCAGTGCGTGGCGAGGCAAGAAGTAAGATATGCATTGCGCAGCGAGTAGGTGCCACGCATCAATGCGCATGTTGCTCCACGCTGCGGCAGCATGGAGGAGACGTTTGGATTTGGCGCGCATCTAAGCGCGAGGCAGGCGGCGCAGAGGCGCTGCGTGAAAGAGACTCATGTATGCGTACGTGTTTGTGTCGATCTGGGTAAGGCGCGCACATGCTTGAGAGCTGAAGGGTGTGAAGGATTGTTATGAGAATGCGTACTCGCGGAGTTGTTGCGGAGCAGCTGTTTCTGTTTTCTGCGCATGCCGGGTCCACAGTGCTGGTACGTGGAAAGGACATTGACGAGGGCCGCCAAACGCATGGGATGTCGTGAAGATGAGTGCAATGCCTGCAGGAAGTAAGTGTCGTGCAATGCTGACCGCACATTTGTGGAATGGAGCGACGTGACGTGCACTCTGACACAGAGAAAGCGCACCGCAGTCTTGGCGAGGAGCAGTTACGATGTGTTTGTAGGTCCCTCTTTACAAGACCCCTGCTGCTGATATAGTAATGACACTGACAATTTCGGATGAGTGTATGTTTTATTCTTCTAAGTTGATGGAGAGTGTAGATTTAGGGAAGAACAGAAGCTGGCAGAGGCATTGTGAGGTGAGTAAAGTGTGCCCACATATCGTCGACAAAAGTACAGATAACAAGGAGTGCAAGGTGGGGCACGAAGTGAAACACGTATTGGGCAGCAAGTAGGTGCCATGCATTAGTGTTCATGCTGCTGTACGTTGCGGTAACAGGGAGGAGACGTTCGGATTTGACGCGTGTCATGGAGCGAGGCACATGATAAACAGGCATTGTGAGTTAGAGAGTTGTGCATGTGTAAATGTTTGAGGCGAGGCACAGCGACCACATGTTTGAGCGCTGTTGTGTGTGAACCATTGCTGCGGGAATGCGTGCTTCTGGAGTTGTTGTGGGGCCGCTAACTTCGTGTTTTCCACACAGCAGGCTCACAGTGCTGGTACGTGGACAGGAGAGACGTGAGGGCTTTTAAGTGCATGGGATGTCGTGACAGTAACTACACATTTTGCAGGAAGTAGGTTTTGTGAAATGGAGGCTTTGAATTTGTGGAATGCAGCAACGAGACGCGAATAGGAAAGCCTCCACTGACACTTCGAAAACGCCGTCGTGGTGAGAAGCAGGGCAAGTGTATGTACAGCTCTCTTCACAGGATGGCTGCGCCCAATGTAAAATTAACACTTAAAATTTTGGAGCAGCGTTTGTTTAGTATTTCCAAGCTTAATGCATGTGAGGATTTGGGCGAGAGCAGCTATCTGTAGGAACTTTGGGGGGAGGGTTAAACGTGTCGGCATATCGAAGACAAAGCTGGTGATAACTCGCAGTGCAGTGCGCAGCAAGTAGCATGATATACGTTGCGCAGCGGGTATGTGCCACGTGTCGACGGCAGCGCAGCTGTACGGTTCGGCAACAGGACGGATACGTCCGACTTCAACGTTCGCCATAATGCGAGGCACGAGGGACAGATGCTGTTGATACTGCGGGCTAGAGTGTAACACATCCGTAGGTGTTTGCGGCGATCCAAATAACGCCCACACGTGCCTGAGCGCTGATGCGTGTGAACTACTGCTGTGAGGATGCATACTCAACGGAGTTGCAGTGAAGCAGCTGCTTTTTTAAATTGAACACAGCAGGTTCACAGTGCTGATACGTGGTCAGGAGAGTGACAAGGGCCGTTAAGCGCAGTAGATGTGGTAATGATGACTGCATCGTTTATAAAACAAACTCACAATACAGTGGAGAGCGAGCATTTGTAGAATGCAGGAACATGCTGCGAATCAGAGAATATGAGCTGCTTGCGATTGACCGTGACGAGACGCTGTCACTGCGAGGCGCAGGGAAAGTTTACAGCTTCCTCTGCAGGGTACCTGTTTCCGACGCAGAAGTGACACTTGCAATTTTGGAGCAGTGTACGCTTAGTACTGCTAAGTTAAAGGCGGGCGTGGATTTGAGCGAGAGCAGCTGCTGGTTTTGACATCGCGAGGTGAATCTAGTGTGCCGGTATCTCGTAAACGAGAGCCCCAAAACGCCGCAGTGCATGTTGATGCAAGTAGGATACGCGTTGCGCAGACAGTAGGTGCTAGGTCTCGAAGCCCACACAGCGCAGTGCATACCGTATACAAAAGAACAGTGCCGCGCAGCGCATGGCGAAGCATGCTGCTGGGCACGCGTTATGCAGCATGTATGTGCCACGCGTCGAAGCCCATGCAGCTGTACGGTTTGGCAACGGCGAGAAGACGTTCGGATTTGGTGCGTGTCACAACGCAAGACAGGCGACGCACAGGCACTGCGGGTTAGAGAGTCATGCATGCGAACGTGTTTGTGTCAACCTGGATAAGGCGCGCACATGCTCGAGCGCTGATGAGTGTGAACTCTTGCTGTGATAATGCGTAATTACGGGGTTGTTCTGGAGGCGCTGCCTTCGTTTATTTGATACGGCAGGTCCATAATTCTGGTACGTGGAGAAGAGGATTACAAGGGCCGTTAAGCGCATTGGATGTCGCGAAGATGACTCTGATTCCTGCAGCAGGTATGTTTTGTGCGCTTGCAAGTGTGCATTTGTGGAATGCAACTAAGTGAGGCACATCAGGAAAGGTGAGATGTGTAAGAGAGCCACGGGGGAGGCGCTGTCCAGGCGAGTAAAAGGTAAAGTGTATATACGGCTTCTTTTGCAAGATGCCTGCTGCCGATATAGAAAGGATACTTGCGATTTTGGAGTGGTGTTTGCTACACTAAAGGCGGGCG